TGGGTAGATCGATGCTTCTCTCGAGTGATTCTAAGCTTCTATGCGTTTTTTCTTTGTTACGAAAAGAGAAATTTCTGCGTTTATTAGTGGAGCCTTCCTGCAACAATTCGCTACTGCTTTTCTTAAAAATCTCACCCTCCTTCTCTAGGAATTCTACGTTTCCCGAGTCGCGACGCGTCTCATAAGCTGTAGTGAGACGTCGTGCATCGCTCATTGTTGGACACTTGAGTTTTTTGTCACCGTCATAGTCAACATAGTCTTTCTCTTTATCCGGACCACTGAAACAATTCATTGAACCGCCTGAGGTCGCCGCGATGTCATCCCTATCGTCCGTCATTCGTTGAATGCAATTCGAATCATCTGTCTCTAGATCCTCAAACATCACGACTTCGCGATCTACGTCTTTCTCAGTTTTATGCCCATGAAAAAAATAACTCTGCTTATCGAGCTGACGGGACGTTGTGTTTGGACTCCTCTCACGTAGTCTACTTAGCACCGGTTGATAATAATCGCGTGATGTGGTCGCGGGATTTAAATCGATGGTACAATTGGGGCCTAATTCCCGGCTACGCCCTAAATTGAGACTGGTCAGGTCTAGAGAAGCCGCTACGTCTGATGGCGGTAGCGGCGCTGCTCTACTACTCGGTGTGGTTAACTTGAATGTACTAAATTGACATAGATTTGTCATGCGTGTCGCGGCAACGGTTTCATTGCAGCCAGATGTGGGCTGTTGCGAGTGTCCGACTGTCACATTGCGTTGCGTTTTTCGTTCGGCAATAGTGAAATTCTGGCTTGCGCAGAATTGTTGGTAGAATTGTATTTTACCTTGAAGATCACTCTTGTCCTGATTGTCCTGATCGCCACGAGTCTCCATCTCGCGTTTCTGCCGGATCGCTCGCAGACTAGCATTCGGTCCAAGCGTCGGGCCTACTGCTGCTACGGACGCATTCGGCAAACATTGCCGCGTGTAGGGTCTAAAATTAGAAGAAAATGTAAGTTTTACAGTAAACAAATGGAGTATAACATACAAAATGAAATATGTTATGCATTATAAAAAAAATAACATTCAATAAAGTATCCCTGGTAAAAAAGTTGATAGAAAATAATTGAGAACGATAGGATTTCTATCAATTTGTATCGTTTTCTATAAGTTTATATCATTTTCTATCGTTGACTTCGCGAGCATTACGATTGATCGAATATGAATCCTATCGGATTCTATAAGATTCCTATAAGATCTGATTCAAATTAATGAATTCACGAACCAGATTCCATATTCAAAACGATAGGATTTTTCTATCATCCTCTAACAACTTTTTTACCTGGGATATCAATGGAGAGAGGCAATTATTTAGCAAGATTTAAAAAGCTATATAATTTTTCTAGTTATTTCTGAACAGGCTATAAATTTGTTTTGAATGAAATAGACATACTTTAGATTCACGAGATCTTTAAAAAATTAAATATTAATGAAAAATTCTGCAAACTATATTTCATTACTCATGTTGTTCGAAATGGCTGTTTCTTGATTCTTTGTTACAGATTGCTACAGATGTTAAAAATAGAGCCACATTTAAGAGCAATAAAATGACTATACTATTTATAAGCATGAAAAGTTGATATGGGTGTGAAGATGCTATCACTAAAATTTAATGACTGCGTTCGGAAACGTCGCTCGGATGCCTCCGATTCATCATCTGTCCTTGTTTAACATTAATGTTAAATCGGAGGATTCCGAGCGATGTATCTGAACGCAGCCAATGTTGCGTTTAAGAATTTTTCAGAAAAATGGACGTTCTAAAAAAATTAACTGACCTCGATCGATGTTCCTGATCATTGTTGGTCCCGGAAGGTAACGCCGCATTAGACGGTTGTGAATGCATGGGCGCTTGCTGTGCAGAAGGTAACGTCGGTTGTCTCGCGTTACCAAATTTCAGCATATTCCAATCGAAAACATAGTCGTACGTAAAGCCTTGACCATGGAACAGTGTCCGGAAAAGTTGTCGAAGATGCGAATAATCCGGCCTCTCCTCGAAGCGTAAGTCTCGACAATACCTTAAATACGACGCAAACTCCACTGCAATAATTAATAAAATGTTTATTTCTTATATATGTATGGTATATATAATATATTGGGTGGATCCATATATTCGTTTGGTTTTTGTTAGTAGTGCAAATTTTTTCCGAATATCTCCGGTTCTGGTTGCCTAATCGGGCAATCCAAATATGTTTTGGAAAGGTGTTTTGGGCAGTCCGCTCTTTTCATCTGTCAAATTTGGTTTCATTGGCATTAATTTTGTTTGTGCTACAGGCCTGTGAACGTGTCGGAGAATAAGGTGCATTTTCGGCACATTTTGCTTTATTACTTCAAGAAAGGCAAGCGAGCTGCGGAGGCCCACCGAAAGATATGCGGCGTATACGGGGACAATGCCTTAACAGAACGTGCCGCTCAGAAATAGTTTGCCAAATTTCGTTCCGGAGATACGAGTCTTGAAGATGGACCCCGCAGCGGTCGGCCCACCGAGGTTGATTCGAATGATATCAAGGCACTGGTTGAGCAAGACCGGACGCTAAAGGTGCGAGAGATTGCGGAGACACTTAAAATAGGTTATGGAACCGTACAAAGGCATTTGCAACAGCTTGGCTACGTGTCCCGCTTCAATGTTTGGGTGCCGCACAAGCTGACCGAGGAGAACCTGGCCAACCGCATATCCATCTGCAATTCACTTCTGAAGCGGCACGAAAGCGACCCGTTTCTCAAACGAATAGTGACTGGCGACGAAAAGTGGATCATCTACGACAACATAGTGCGCAAGAGATCGTGGGGAACCGCTGGCGAGCCGCCGAATGCCACCCCGAAGGCCGGCCTGCATCCGAAGAAGATTTTGCTATCCATATGGTGGGATCATCGTGGTGTGCTGTTTTACGAGCTGCTTCCTCAGGGAAAAACGATCGATTCGAAGGTCTACTGCACGCAGCTAACGAAATTGAATCAAGCATTGCGACAGAAACGTCCAGAACTGGTCAATCGCAAAGGTGTCATATTCCATGACAACGCCAGATCCCACACCGCAATAATCACTCAGCAAAAATTAGTGCAACTTGGCTGAGATGTTTTGCCTCACCCACTGTATTCACCAGACCTTGCGCCATCCGACTACCACTTGTTCCGGTCCCTGCAAAACTCCCTCAACGGGAAATCGTTCGCTGATCAGACAGCTGTGAAAACGTACCTCGACCGGTTTTTCGCCTCTAAGCCCCAGACCTTCTATGAGAGCGGAATAATGAAATTGTTGGAAAGATGGCAAGAGGTCATCAACAAAAACGGAGAACATATCATTGATTAAAATTCATCCTTTGTATGAAAAAAACTTGTTTCATTTTAGCCTTTAAAAACCGAACGAATATATGGATCCACCCAATATAGTGCAACAATAGATTTTATGGTCAATTTAGAACTAATTTTTACTTGATAAAACTATGAAGACAGAATTTTTACGCGAGCTAAATTACAAAGAATCAAATCTTTTATAAAATTATGTTATTCAGTTAAACTCACAAGGGGATGATATGACAGTGGAAGGAGGGAAGGGGAGAGGGAGAAAGAGAGGGATAGAAGGGGGAGAGGGAGAGTCACCGATTTTAATTAAATTTGGTAAGGATAAAGAATCCCTTAAAAAAATACATATATCTCAAAGAATTATTAAAAGAATGATTAATGCAGAAGAATTATTAAAAGGATATTCAGGGATTTTGAAATACTTTGTGTATGTAATTCGTGCTATTATCTATAAAAAAAAAAAACTTACCAGGATAACCTTTGCAAAGCTCTTCTACAGGAGTAGACATTTTCTTCTCGGAAATACGTTCATACTTCTGTCTCTTAGTTGCTGCTTTTAAGCCCTGCCAAGGTAGACTACCTCTATTAAAGTACATGAGGACATAGCCCAGAGATTCAAGATCGTCCCGTCGTGACTGCTCAATTCCTAAATGCGTATTTATACTCGCGTATCTGTTAGCACAGTAAATGAATTAGTCAAAATGATATTATACAGATGTAATATTATATAATTATCAAATTACAACTAACCTGGCAGTTCCCGTCAGATTTTTGTTTTCTCGGTAGGGTATGTGCTTGTGTGTGCGCCCATCGCGATACTTTTTAGCTAATCCGAAATCTATAATGTAGACGAGGTTTCCCTTCTTTCCCAAACCCATCAGAAAGTTGTCTGGCTTAATATCACGATGAATGAAGTTGCGACTGTGAATATAATCTGTTCTACTTATCTGTAGAATAGAAAAGTTAAAGTACTGTTATTGTAACTGTATATTGTGTTTCATGCGCATGCTTCATGCTTCAAAGATCATATGCAGAAATATAAATAAACTCTTTATTCAATATTTGATTTATTATTGTATGTACTATATAATACATGCTAAATTAATAGCATTATTTTTTTCGTAAAATAATTTTTTTTTCTAAAAGTGCGACATTTTGTAAAATAAAACTAACTAATGCCTGTATCTCTTATTGTTAATTTTTAATCTATATTTTCAATGGCATTTAAAAATGTGTTTATAAATATACATATATCAATCATATAATAATATATATAATACTATATTTATGTATATTATATAATTTATTACATATACACTACATGCATCCAAATAAAAAGAAATCGGATTAGACCTATAAAAATTTGAATTTGTACAACGATATCGTTTTCATTATGCTTTAAACGTTCTTTGGAAAACCTTGTCTTAAATCGCGCTAAACACTTTTTACGATTTAGCTTGGATCTATCAAAACACCGTCTTTTGAGTTTCAATTTTATTTTTTGGAAAATAAAAAAATTAATCATAAGGAGCTAAATCTAGCGAAATCCAAGAAAACAAGAAAAGTCAAGAATGCGATGAAGACCATGTTGATTGTCTTTTTTAATATCAAGGAAATTGTGAATCAAGAATTTGTTCTTGCCAGACAATATATAAACGCAGATTTTTTTATTGCAACATTTTAAAGCGATTACGTGAAGATTGTATGGTCATCTAGGCTAAATCACTAAAGTGCTTAAATCAATTTGAGACAAAGATTTCTAGAGAGTATTTTGAAGCATGGCGGAAGCGGTGGAATCGTTGTATAAATGTAGAATGGAACTACTTTGAAAATGATATAGGCAAATTTAAATTAGGTAAATATTTGAATTTTATAGGCTCAGTCCCGGTTTCTTTTTGAGTGACTTATATACACGTAAATATATTTATTTATAAACATATTTAGAAGTATTAAATATTATAAATATTGGTGTATACAACTTCTATAACTGCATAACATAGTTAAAATAATGTCTCTTGCAAGAAAAAAATATTTATTGAGAATATAAATATTTCTTGGCAGGAATATGTACAATAACAATTTTTCTGTAAAATGAAGTAATAATTGAATATAATCACAATATAAAATTTGAACATATAGTAATGGTTGTTCTACAATGTGCTCTTTGTTTCCTATTTCTTGCTTTTTACCTTTTGCTTTTTTCCTCTTTGTGATCGTTTTATCGACAATTATATTTCTTAATATGTGTTTTCTGTTTCTTCTAAAGTTCGTTAACGTTTATCTCGAGCAACAGAAAACGAAAAACGGGATAAGAGGGAAAAAGGCAAGATACAAAAAATAGCAAAAAGAGCAAGAAACAGGATACAAAAAGCACATTGTAGAATAGGCTTAAAGCATTTGGCAAACACTCCTGCATATACAAGGTGTCCCATTTTAAATAATGCATTAAGATTTCTCGAAAACTATGATAGATATGGAAAAATTTCAAACAAAAATTGTATGGTTTGGAGGGGGACATAAGAAGAAGCTACCATTGATTTGACCTTGGATGACGTCGTTAAAATCAGAACAAGATCACATCGATTTTTTTTTAAATGAAACACCATAGTTTTGATTCCAGAATTTAATAGCTGGTGTCAAGAGCTTTTCAAAACACTATAATATAAAGTTATTTTTCATTAAGTACTTTTCGAGTTATAAAAGGTTTGAAAATTTTACAATACCGCCAGCATTATTAGCAAGTAATGTCCGATCGACGGCTAAAATCTCTTGAATGTTGTTCAGGATCATGTCCTGGATAACATTTGTCAAGATCAAAGTCATTGGAGATTGTTACCTCTTATTTTAATTTTTGCACTAAGAATTCATTTTTACGTAAAAATGAAAATAAGAGGTACAATCTCCAATGACTTTGATCTTGACAAATGTTATCCAGAACATGATACTGAACAACATTTAAGAGGTTTTAGCCGTCGATTGGACACCTTGCGTAATGCTAATGCCAGTGGTACTGTAATTTTCAAGCCTTATATCTCAAAAAATACTTAATGAAAAATAACTTTATTATAGTGTTTTGAAAAGCTCTTTACACCAGCTATTAGATTCTGGATCAAAAATATTTGTTCCATTTAAAAACAAATTGATGTGACCTGATCTTAATGACGCCACCCAAGGTCAAATCAATGGTACCTTCTTATGTTCCCCTCCGAACCATACAATTTTTGTTTGAAATATTTTTCCGTACCATAGTTTTCGAGAAATCTTAATGCATTATTTAAAATGAGACACCCTATACATTAAAGAAGATCCACATTTAGCTTTTTATCTTAGAGTGCAGCCATAAAAAATACACAATCCTAATAGAATCCTGTCTTGTAATGTATATTAATAAAATAATTATATAAGAGATTCTGAGATTCTAAAAAATTAAATGCAATCTTTGTTGTTAATCAAAATATTTATTAAATTAATTACGTCAAAATGATATAAAAAACTGTAAAAATTTTAAAAACATGGTATATTGCTTTAACAATATATTTTATTTTGACGTAAGAAATAATTATTGATTCGTTATTTATATATATCTAGATAAAAAAATTTTTATAATAAAAAGAATACTTACCAATTGATCGGCAAGGAGTAGAACTGTTTTCAAAGAAAAACGTCTCGAACAAAAATTAAATAAATCTTCCAGTGATGGTCCAAGTAACTCCATCACCATCACGTTATAGTCACCTTCCGAACCACACCATTTTATAGTTGGTATTCCAACTAAAATATTAAAAAAGAGATTATACTATAATAACGATACAATGTTCTGAAAAAAGGAAAATCTCAAAAGATTGTAATTATAGTCTAAACTAATTGTCTCAGAGAATATCACCCTGCCTTCCCTTCACTTTCTCCAAAAAGATTATGCAACTGTATTACTAGTGAAATAATCACAGTATAAGTGTATTTAACTAACACAATAAAAATTTCATAATGAACGTTATTAAGTCTTAATAATTATACATTTTAAATTATGATACATTTTTCTTTATATAATCTTTTCTTTTAAAAGTTATTACTAATTTTTACTAATAAACCAATTGACAAACAACTCTTAGAATAATTAAAGATTTGTTTACTTAATAGAAACCTCTGTATCATGCTAAATTTGTTCTTTTTATCTGCTAATGTCAGAAAAAGATGCACAAGCAAGTAGATATCAGAGATACACAGCTGTGTCATATTGGACGGAAAGAAAAGATATTGGATCAGCTGTCAAATAAATGAGAACGTGGATACAATTCCTCGTATAGAATAAACATTCAATTGATAATACAGAAATATTGACTTACCGCCTCCTTGCATCATCTTGTAAAACTTGGACTCTATGTGCAGCTGCGGATGTCGTGTTTTTATGCATTCTAACTTAATAGCAACTTCCTCACCCGTGGAAATATTGGTACCTATGAATAAAGAAAAAGTTCCAGAAAGTTCATTTATGTGTACACATATATTTACATGGTACGATATACAAAGAAGACAAAGAAGGTGAGCGGAGAAATGAAAGATAGAAATAACGGAATAAAAAGAAAAAGAAAGGAAAGTGGGAATAAAACGTTACAAGTTAATGGTTTCACGCTCTCCTGCGCGAAATATACAAAATCTACTGTATACGATCACACACAGATGAGGAAGATGGGAGGGGTGAAGGGGGAAAGACGGCATCGAGTGGCTTGACGAGGAACTCGCGACTCGCGCGGACATGCGGTTGACGAGCGGCAGAGGGGTGGGAGGAGCTTACCTAGGTAAATGTCGCCAAAGGAGCCGCTCCCGATTTTCCGTCCTAGCCGGTACTTATTACCAACACGTAGCTCCATCGTACACAAGCCCGTGCGGCGCACCCCGATGGAAGTATCACGTCGCGATTGCAATCACGGCGGCGGCGGCGGAGGCGACTAATGTATACACACACCAACAATCCAGCGTAGAGTAGGCAGCGCGGTACAGCAGCAGCTGACCCGACGTGAGCGTGGAATAATACGATGCTCGCTCTCGCACGACAATGGGTGGTGCGTGCTGGACTGATTGGCTCGCTCGTTCGCGTTACTGGCTTGACGGCAACAATACCTCCATGCTCGTCGCAGAGAAACTCGGACCGATTGATCTTGAACCTACAGGCATTTCTTCGTGGCTAGTCGCGATGAACAGAATAGCGCACCTCGTTACGATGGCGGTCGCGCTGATGGCGGCGGCGCTGCGCTCGCGTTTGTCTATCGCTTTCTCGCCGTTGTGTTGACAGCGCTGCTGCCAGGGCGCCAGGCAGATAGAGATAGGCAGGAATCACGACGGAGATGACGGCACCAAGAGGTGCTACAGGATGGGAGAGGGAGGGCGGTTGATCGGTCGTGGCGAAATTTGATAAATGTACCGCGTGTAGACACCTTGTTTATAGTGTAGCTGCAATAGCGGGACGGGAAGAAAGATCGAATCTTGTAGTAAATGTCGATTCGACTATAGAAGCGCGGATAACGACCAATAGGAACGCACGTCGCGGTAGGGCATCTGCCAGAGGCGTCCAAGCGGACCGGTGACGAAGCACGACCAAAGATGCACCAATCGTGACTGCGCCCTCACCACCCTCGCCTTCACGATGTTTCGTGAACACACGGGGCGGAATCCATAGATGTTGCTCAAGATTCGAGATGGTCTTAAGCTAGTGCATGAGCCAATCAGAGAGCCGTATTAGCATCTTAAGACATTGGCTGCGTTCAGCAGAACGTTTGTTTTGCAACTGTTGTAAGTTTCCTTCGCGCTAATTGGATCATACTTTTAGATCTAGAAGAATGGTCCTATCTCAGCAGACAATCATAAAACGGTTGCAAAACTGTTGAGTCTGCTGAACGCAGCCATTGTTTGAGATTAAGACCGGACTATGGATTCCGGCCACGTTCTTCTCATAAAGACGACCACTGACGAAAGGAAGAAAAGAAAGGAACGATTGTCTCGAAGACAGCGCCCTCATGTACATACATTCATGAGCAATTGGATGCATTCGGAACATATACTATGTATGTAATATGCTGGATTCACACTGCATCCGATTTTCGTCGTACGACGCTCTTTTTTTTTTCCGATAATACGAAACAAAATTCATCGGAATCCTATTTTCTGATTGGTTGCAGAGTGTCGTACGACGAAAATCGGATGCAGTGTGAATTCAGCAATACTTCTATATTGCTAACGTCAATTAAAAGCTGGCGAAAACACCACGGTGTAGACGAATATCTACCTCTCACTTAGATAGTGTACAGTGCATGCGCATCACACTCGAGTACACTGTGGAAGTGAGAGATCCGATATTCTCTATCTCGCTATCTTTGCACAACCCCCCCCACTCCCAAAAAGAGATTGCGTTAGCAATATAGGGCCGGTATTCATAGTCAGTTCTTATATTCAAGATCGTCTTAAGTTCAGCCTTGAGGTGTCATGAACCAATCAGAGAGTCGCGGTTGCATATTAAGACTGGTATTCATAGTCAGTTCTTATATTCAAGACCGTCTTAAAGGCCATCGCACGTACAAAAATTTTAGTCGGAATCGTAAAGTCGCAAACAAATCGACCAATCTCAGTCGAGCGTTTAAAAGCGCGAGATCTTAATTTTGATTGTGTTTTAGCCTTAAGTTCAGTCTTGAGATGTCACGAACCAATCAGAGGGCTGTATTAACATCTTAAGACATTGGGCGCGTTCAAGTTGACAAAGCGGCTAACCTGCTCGCCAAGCAAATGAACATAATTGGTTGTTACTTATAGATCCAACCAATCATATTCAATCGCTCGGTAAGCACGCCTAGCCGCTTTGCCGTCTTGAACTCGCCCATTACTTAAGACAGCACCCAAGAATGCACTTAAGAATGCACCCAATCGCTCAATGGGTGCATTCAGTACTACCAACCGCTCACTGAGCGCTTGGACCTTATTGGCATATTCTGTTAGAACTAAAAATGTAGACCAAACAGATACAAGAGCTCACTGAGCGCTCAGTAAGCGGTCGTAGTACTGAATGCACCCATTAAGACTGCAGTCCATTTGACGCTACAAACGCTTCGAAACGTTTGAGCGACCAATCAGAACAAAAAATTTTACGAATTGACTAATCAAAGAATGCTTCGGGTGCGTTCCGTTTCTTGCATGATGCGCATAGAAGCATTGGCTGCGTTCAGCAGACTCAACAGTTTTGCAACCGTTTTATGATTGTCTGCTGAGATAGGACCATTCTTGTAGATCTAAAAGTATGATCCAATTAGCGCGAAGGAAACTTCCAACAGTTGCAAAACAACCGTTCTGCTGAACGCAGCCATAATGCGGGGTCTACAATAGAAGTCGTAGCAGTCGTATGGTCTTAAGTCATAGAAAATTGACCAATCACAGTCGAATATGAGAAGAATAATCAACTGTGATTGGTTAATTTTCTACGACTTAAGACCCTACGATCGCTACGACTTCTATTGTAGACCCCGCATAAAAGTTCGTTCCGTTTCTCTTCATGCACACTCGCTGCATGCATGATTCAGGCTGTGGTCCACTTGACGCTACAAACGCTTCGAAGCATTCTTTGATTAGTCAATTCGTAAAATTCTTTGTTCTGATTGGTCGCTCAAACGCTTCAAAGCGTTTGTAGCGTCAAGTGGACCGCAGCCTCAACCTACCGCCAATTGCATAACCCCGCCTCTTCCGGTGCATGAAACCGCATGAAGTGCCTCACCTCTCGAGCTGAGGCAGTTCATGCAGTTTATGCATTCAACATATTTTAGTGCGAAACTGAAATCATAGTGGTTGGTTAGCATTTCGGGGTTACAGGTTTTGGGCCGTCATGTCCTCTCTCAGATTTCTCTCTGGTTTCAACTTCTTGGTAAAGTTTACCTGTTAGATAAGTAGCAAGATTATCCAATCACGTACGCGGATTGCCAGATTTACCTAACACGTAAACTTTGGCTGCGTTCAGCAGACTCAACAGTTTTGCAACCGTTTTATGAATGGGCGAGTTCAAGACGGCAAAGCGGCTAGGCGTGCTTACCGAGCGATTGAATATGATTGGTTGGATCTATAAGTAACAACCAATTATGTTCATTTGCTTGGCGAGCAGGTTAGCCGCTTTGTCAACTTGAACGCGCCCATTGTCTGCTGAGATAGGACCATTCTTCTAGATCTAAAAGTATGATCCAATTAGCGCGAAGGAAACTTCCAACAGTTGCAAAACAACCGTTCTGCTGAACGCAGCCTTTATCAAAAGATGGAACAATCTAGTCTAGGTCCTAAAGCCCAGTGTCCACGATGCTAGAAATCCGTCCGAGATCTCGGATGAAGAAAGAATTGACCAATCGCATTGATCATGTGACTAAATTGTTTAAATGTGATTGGTTAATTCTTTCTCTCTCCGAGATCTCGGACCAATTTCTAGCATCGTGGACACAAGGCTTAAGCATGAAGTAAGAATAAGGAAACTTAACTGTGTAGATTGAAAGTGATCACGAAAAATGTTCCGTGTACTGCCATGTCCGCCGAACGGAATAACTTGCAACATTCCATCGCCATATTGAATATTTATATGTGTGCAGTATACTTGCGACTGTGTTGTACATATGTGTATTAAATACATGTCTTCTAAAAAGTAAGTAGCTTGCCCTCCTAAAATCTGAATAAAAATATACTCATTCGTCGCGCGTTTTCACTCAAAACGAAAGAATCTGTAAGAAAAATGCTGCAGTCGGCCTTATGAACCGAGTTATTAAGCGTTAAAGTTCGAGACTACAGATTAGGTTAAATGAATTGTGTAACAGGTGTAAACAAGCTTTTTTTGCAAATCCTTTTTTGTCTCCCCTAGAGTTACATCCCTCCACGCAATAAGACATTGTTATTTGATAACTTTTCGCCTATAATATTATAATATTTATAATGAAATAAGATTATATTAATGTTCGAATGTATTTAACATATATCTATTCTGATTATTAAAAGTGTGTATATATACACATACACTTTATATATATATATATATATAATCAGAATAGATAGATTTTTAACATTTAATATTTATCTAAAATATAATTTTTCTATTTTTAGAGAAAAAAGCTTATAGAATGAAAGTATATATACATAACGCTATATCGAGTCGGGATGATAAATATCCTAACCTGTAGTCTCGAACTTTAACGCTTAATAACTTGGTTCATAAGGCCGACCGCTGCATTTTTCTTACAGATTTTTTCGTTTTGAGTGAAAATGCGACAAATGAGTATATTTTTATTAAGATTTTAGGAGGGCAAGCTATTTACTTTTTAGAGGAGACACGTATTTAATACACATATGTACAATACAGTCGCAAGTATACTGCACACATATAAATATTCAATATGGCGATGGAATGTTGCAAGTTATTCCGTTCGGCGGACATGGCAATACACGGAACATTTTTCGTGACCAACTTTTTTCTCCATGTCCTATCTAATTAATGGCTCCCGCACACTGGACGCGGAAACGCTTGTCGCGCGGCAAAATATGACGCGGTAGCCAATAAGCTTACAACTCCTAACATGTTTATTGGTTATCGCATCGCATTTTGCCAATCAGAAGCAATCCGCTGTTATGGTTTCGCGTTTCACCGATTACTGATTGGTTGTGCGTTTCCGTATTTCTGTGTTTCCGCACTCATGTAATATCAGCCTCATAAGTCTCCTTACTCTTACTTCATGGTCCTAGGTCTAATATCTCATCGAGAATACCACATAGAGATATAAGAATAGAGGGCAAAAGCCGTAGGTACAGGCGTTAGCGGGATAGAAAGAGAACGCTGCATAGTTACTCGTGCCATTCTTGTTTAATAACGCATGCGCGCAGCCCATCCATGTTTACTTACAAGCATGGTAGTGAATATGCCGGAATTAACCGCTTTCGATTTTACAAATGTTTTTGTGTAGTTTTTTTAAAAAATGACTGTAAAGTGTATCGTGTGCAAAAAAGAATCAAACCGATTTTCTGATCGCAGTTTTCATAAGTAAGTACACACATATTGTACGTATACATAACAAACATACAAACCTAACCTTAATAAACATTGTAATTAATTGTATAAAAATTGATATCTGTAGTTTCAATGATACTTTTCTATTTTAACTATAATTTCTTTATTTTTTACTTTATTTACCATAATTCTTGCTTAATGACACATATTCTCATCATAATTTTCATCATATACATGATAAAGAAGAATATTAAAGGTACCATTTCTTCTGTATTTGCAATATTACTTTTTTAACACCATTATTTTCATTACAATTAATTAAATCATACATGAGGATTGTTTATTTATAAATCTAGCATTGCATTTTAACATTTTCAGTCCTATCAAATATGTAACGCGTACTTATCACGACAGTGTCCAAAACATGAATTTGGACACTGTCGTGCTTATAAACAAAATATTTCGCATCATTTCCATATTCTTTCTTCATGATTTTAGAAAGGAACATGTTTTCCGCTGTCTTCGCCAAAAAATCCGAATGTTTTTAATACATTTTCATGTCAAAATCAATTACTTTGCATTACAACTCATCCGCCGGCGTTTGAAATCCATCGGCTCCGCGGGGGCCACGGC